AAGTTTCTCAAACTACGAAAGAACTTCAAGGCAGTTGCATTAACTTCTGGAAAAAATTGGGAACTTTCAAGTAGTTCTGAAGACCTCAGAATAGTCCATTCTGATTTCCATTGAAATATTCCTCAACATTTCAATAAAGCTATTCTCTTCATTAAATTTTCTTTTAGTTTTCCTCGGAATTACCTTGACATTCTCCACAATAAGAAACCATTTGGAAAAATTCTCCGAATATTCATTGAATTCATTTCAGATTTCATTTTGAATCTCACTCCTTCCCATGGAATTCTACTCACATTGAAAGTCTCCTAAGAATTCATTAGCATTTCTCCTTACAAATTCCTTAGATTTCTTCTCATAATTTGTATGGCAAACCCTCCTGAATTTATTTTCCGAATTCCTTTGAAGATGTTCTGGAGTTATTCTCAGATTTAATTGTAATCCTCCCTTTAGTATTTTCAAAAAGATTCCAAGGACTAATGCTCCGGATTCGTTTTCTCCCACAACTTTATAACATTATCCTCAGAACCTAAAGAGACGAACCAGCTACAGGCTGAAAGTCTCTATAATAGAGCAAAAAAAAAAAATTATCCTCAGAAGGCCCTTGGAATTTTGCTCTAAGGAGTTGTGCTCCTCAGAAATTTTCAGAGTTTTCATTAAAATTTGCTTTTAATTCAATTCAGGGTTTCTTAAAATTCTACTCAAAACTTTTAGGCTTCACAAGAAATCTAAAATTCCTCAGAACTACCTTAAAAGCAGATTGCATTTGATGTTTTTCTGAAAGATTTTTTTTTCCAGAACTTCCTTGAAATGAGCTCCTTAGAAATTATAATAAAATTCAACGAGCTTTTAAAACTGTGCATGGATTTTGACTCCAGATTCTTGAAAATTTCTTGAAGTATTATAGCTTTTAAGCCCAGAAAATTTCTTGGAAATATGCATTTTCCAAAAAAAAAAAAACATTTCTAGTCTCTGTTTTTTTTTTATTTATTTGTTACTAATACACTGTGGATCTATAAAGTTCAAAGTGTGAATGTAAATATCGAGAAACATGAAATGCTTGTATTTCAAAATTCATTATTTTCTTTAAATATCCTTTAGAATTAGAATTAGAAAATTATTAAATTATCTGAGCCTTCCAGGTATTTTAAAGAACAATAAAATTTCCTGAGGATTTGTGGTTTTCCAGGTTTTTGCAGTTAGTAGACAACCTAAATAATACCATAGAGGTAACTCTAAGACTACAAGGTCCCGAAGAAACGTGCTCAACTTTTTGGCTCAGCTCTGGTACTCCCAAGCTAATCGATGCACCCCTCGAAACACAGGAAAATCCACGAACCCCTCATTTTATCTGTCAAACTTTTATAGCGAATCAAAACAAACATTGTGTAGTACTAAAATTTCGACTAGAATGAAAGTAGGGTTAACTACCCCATTTCCGGCCTATTAAGCACAACCCGCACTTAGTCTTTCTTAATCTAGCGCAGTTTAGCACCAAGCGGAATGTTATTATTACTGATGGGTTCCAAATTTATTTACCTTTCCGTATGTACCGTAAGATTTGATAAAGAGAAATCAATCGTTGAGATATTGTCAAAAGTCTAACAGTGTTTCTTGACGCCAAACTCGGCCTACGGATTCTAAACTCGGCCTAACGTATTGAAACGCCAATGAGTTCACTTCGGCCTATCGGATGAAGATAAAAATGGCTTCGGTCGGAGCGCTTCTTTTGTTTTTAAGAATAATGGGTGCAAACCTCTGTATCACGCGTTCTCACTGACTTCGTTCCGTAGATCATTAACTAAAGTATCGTACCAAACGCATAATTGACTTGTTAACTCTTAAATCATGAATTTATTTGAAGTTTTCTGCTCGATAGGCCCAAAATGGGCGATTAGGCCGAAGTAGTTCTCTACCCTACGTGAAATTTGAGAGCAAATTAAATGTGTTGCAATAATTACGTTTTCGTCTTTTAGCATTCGCAGGTGTGGATACTGGATTACAGTTCGCCAGATTGAACCGAACTGCCGATGTAGCTCCTAATCTACCCACAACTTTCCGTTCTTATCTAGTGTGATCTTCAATCCCCGACAGAAAGGTCCTTCATTTTGAAGCGGTTGTGAAGGAACATCTTCAACTTCCCCTCTAACTGGGCATCGTTGGTGAAGATTAAGAAATCGTCGACAAAGATGGTGACGAAAATCATTTTTTCACCGTCGATCCGAAAGTACAATCATGGATCAACTTTGGACCGCTACAGTCCAAACTCCTTCAGCGCATCGTTCAGCTGGTTGTTACACACACGGCTGGATTGCTTGAGGCCATTTAGTGCTTTCCACAAAAAGACAGGCTTCCTTCGAATTACCGGCAAACCCTTCGAGTAGGTTCATATAGATGATTTATTCCTATAGCTTTCCTTGAAGGAACGCGGTGACAGCATCCTTCTGCTCCACATCCAAGTCGTGCTTCACTGCCTGCGCCAGAAGGTATCGGATGGTGGAATACCGTACCACCGGGGAATACATTTCGTTGAAATCGATGCCTGGCCCAAGGCTGGTAGCAGGTCACTTTTTAGTGACTTGGTCACTATTTTGAAGCCAGTCACTAAAAAGTCACTTTTTAAACTAAAAAGTCACTAAAGTCACTATTTCTCTAAAAATAGTCACTAAAGTCACTTTTTCACTACTAAAGTAGAGTGAAATTTAAAAAATATCAACCAAATCTTTAAATTGAGTACTTGGCACTAAGAAAGTCTAAAGTTATTTTAACAAAATATACATAGCTGTTAAAAAATTGAAAATTTTAACCAGAACGTTAACGTTAGAACACCAGGAAAACTATTGGGAAATGCCTCCAATTTCTATTAAAAATGGGGGAAAATATACCTCCTTCCCAGAAAATAAATTGTAAACCTTGGAAACTTTCCAAATGTATTTGTCTGTGATAGATTTTCAAAAGTCTTTTAAGGATGAAAAGTAAATTTAAAGAGAATTTTAAAGGATTCAAGGGATGACACCAATATATATCAGAGAAAAATACCAAAGTACAGACGACGAAAGTCTCATGTAAAATTAAGTGCTCTGAGCAGAGTTGCGACCTATCACAATCACCATCATCAAACAGCTGATGGTAGTAACGCTTTGTACATTCCTATCAATGTGCTCGCGGAAGCGCTCTCCATGACCATCCATCAAGTTGACGAAAGAAGTAACAAGCAATTGGTGAATGTCGTCTTCTGTTGTGATCCATCACCGATCTGGTCATTCCTGACAATCACGACACTCATCTGTGCTCGTTTTGAAGCAGTTGGTGGTTTGCTTACTTATGTGAGTGTGTTGGTGAGTGAGCCCAACAGCTTCCGTTTAATATTGCCTGCTTTGTTTGTAACTCACACACCCGCGCCTGCCGAGTGCCGAGACGAACTTGGAATGCGTAGGCATTGTTTTCATTTTCTTCTGTCGTTTCGCTTTTTCACATGATCGTGCTGCAGAAGTCTTCACTGTTTTCGTTGTGCTTTTCATTATCAGCAGCGAGTGTAACGTTTTGCTTGTGAGCAGCGACGATTACTGGTGATTGTTGTTTGCCATGGCTCTAACTCTCACTGCGTGACAAAACGATCTGTCAGCGATAGTCGTTTGATGCGAAGACGAGTGTCACGTGAGTTTCGTGATATTTTGCATCATATAGTAAAACTTGGCTTAAAACACACGAGCGTCGCTTTTGATTATTGTTTAAATGATTAGAGACGCAAAATTCAGCTACGAAACAATTTTGGAAATAATTCCAATTTAATTGAGAGTGCAATTTTAACGAGAGTTCTGAGAAGAATTCTATGATGATTGGATGAAGATTCTAGGTCTATTTCCAATAAGAATCAAAATTAGTTCTCAAATTTTGCTTAAAAGAGCTCTAATGAAAATTCCCTGAAAATCCTGTGAACTCCAAATATGGTCTCTGCGGATTGTTCTAAAAGAAATCTAGGATGATTTCTGAAGATGCTTCCAAAATATGGGTGATTTCTGATGATACTTCCAAGAGAATCCTAAAGAGTTCGAAATAAATTCCGAGAATTCCAATGGAATGAGGGTTCAATCTCAAAGGAAATCTGAGAAGAGTTTCAAAGTTATTCTGTGTTGGATCTTTGTTTTGAGAATTCTGAGGAAATACTGAGGGAATTCTAAGTAGAATACGAATTGAATTTCAAATTGAATGCAGGGGAAAAGTCCAAGATTATTATAAGTATAAATTTATGTAATTTCTGAGGTTAATTGCATGGAAATTTTAAGGAGAATTCAAATTAATGTAAAATGGACTTATGGAAGGAGTCTTCAGAGAGTTCCTTGAAGAATCAATAAAAAATCGAAAGTAATCTACTTTAACTAATCATCTGTTATTACTTCATGCGTGAATTTAACGATTTGCATAGTAGGAGATGCTTAACGTAAAATATCAGACTTAAAGTGGACATTTCATACGATAGATGAGGAGTTATAGTACGGCAGTATAAAAATTGTATATACAAAGTAGAAAGCGAGCTAAGAACAATTTTGAGGAAGGTACGAATCGGGTAGTTGTTTACGTCAGATGGCGACTAGAGTGTTAAACAATCGATAGAATTGTTTCTGCACATCGGAGGTTCATGAGGTTTCCCTTTTGCCAGTGGTGGCTCATTAACGGTAGCTTGGTAAAGGAGATGATCTACCCGATTCGTACCTTCCTCAAAATTGTCCTTTGTTCGCTTTCTACTTTCTATATACAAATTTCACACTGTCGGAACTATGAAGCGTGCCTTTCGAGGACCGAAACAATAAAATGTTTCAATCTGAAATGTTTTTTTCTAATGTCTGGAGTGGTATTTTTAAATATTGTTAAAACTTTGTGGTTTTAGACCCTTGATTGGGGCGTCGAGTAGTAAGGGATTGATTTTCTTTTCACCCAATTCAAACAACCCCCGCAAGATGATTGAAATAGAAGTTTTATTCATCGTCTTTCCTCTATCCTATGTACAAGAGTGTATGTGTCTGTTCATTGCAGTTGACGAAACGGTATAAATAGTTTGAAAAATATACGAGGATAAACTAGTGCGATAGATAACGGTAGCTTAACAACCAATCTCCATATTTATTCAAGTTTTCTTCACTTTCGCCTATTACATAAGAGATTATTAGCATCCTTCTTTTGCTCAAGTGTTGTACAAATCTGGCATAACGAGCTTGTTCTATAGTATATGTTTCATTCCTTTGCTTCATTACGCGATACACTTGCTTTGTTCTCGTTAGTTATAAATTCTGGTTGCATAAAACTAGTAACGATTTTATTTTCCGACGTGATGATGATCTCCTAAGCGAGTTTGAATGATGAAAGAGGTTCTGTTTCCGTTTGCTTTCAGCTCAAAGGTATGGCAGTAGGGCCACTGTAAGGAGGAGAAACTATCCCTTGGCTGGTCGTGTACAGTTCTGCTACAGTGTTACATTTAAGGTGAGTCTTTTAGTTTTTTTTTTAGTTCGTCACAATTCGTCAATCTTATGCCTATCAGAGGGTTTTTAAAGTCTACCGAAAAGTACCTTGTGCTTGCAATTCTCAAATTTCAATCCGGTGCATCATAGTTGGTGTACTGTTTGCTTTTTCTTTGCTATCTGATTTACTTTTGTTCTACTGATTTCCTGCGACATTTTCAACTTTAACAGTTGTTGTTTTCCGCTAAATTTAACAATATTTAGACATGGTCAGCCCTGCCAGAGGGAGCAACTTTATTATATTGACATTATTAGCTACGGTTATTTACAAATTCTATTCAGACATTGCATTGTTGGTCTACTTCTAGTTTTCTACAGCAGAAGGCTCGCCACGTAATTTTCTTCTGAGCAACAACATCGCATTGTTGAAAGTTTTTTTTTTCGATAGTTGGTACAGGAATATTCAAAGCTAACACGTTACGGTTTCTGTTGCTACAGTTTGTCTAAATTTCTTAAAACTTTTGCACGTCCGTCGAGCTCCGACGGCACAGGTGCCTACTTCAATTCAGTTTTGTTCGTAGTGTTCATTAATCCTATCTTAGTAAAGCTATGATCCCAAATTCAGCTGATAACGGTACCTTACTGCTAAGCTAGGTCACCATTGCTCGAGTTGTCGCTTGAATGTTTAACTAATTTTGGATTTTTTTTTATCCTTCAATGAATTGTTTTTAGTTTCTCATTGGCAAGTGCGGGAATTTGTATTTTTCTCGATCGTTGGAGCAATGGCGAAACTTAAAAGACTGGTCCCTTAATCAGACATGTTTGAAAAATGGTGGTAGAGGGCTGGTTTGCTATCTGTCAATATCTACCCAGATATTACATTTTTTTTTTGTTGGACGATGTAAAGAAAATGAAGGCAACACGTTCGAACATAAGAAGGAGAGTTAGACACAGTTAGGTTCACACACATTACGAATCGTAGATTATAATTTTTTCTTTCGTTTTGATGTGTACAGTGTTAATGTTTCGGCTGATTGAATGTTTTGCAAGGTTTTATGTCATTCCCAAATACGATTGCACTATTTTTCATACCCTTCTTACGTATTGATTTCATTTGTCATATGATGCTTTTTGGCCCTCGAAAGGAACTGTAAACTATCCAAGGTGCACCAGGGGCATGTCCAGATGTACCTAATCCTGGGCACTTAATATAACCACCATGGCATGTTTTTGAATCCCCATGTGATTTGAGGTGTCTCATGATGGTTTTTGGCACAAGTCAGAAACGGGCCCTGGGGTGTCCGGTACATGTCCGAATGTATCCAATAAGGTTCTGAACACTTCACATGTCCACCATTAAACCACCACCACCTTCTTAAAAAAAAACATTGCTTTTGAGAAAATTGTGTTTAAAGTTTTCAAACCTGAATTAAAAATATTTGGCAACACTGTACACAAATAACAGCAATATCTGATTTAGATTCCTTGCTCAAATTTGCTTTCCTAAAAATCACGAAACATAGAAAATGTGCTCTTGGGCCGAGGGGTGCACCGATCGACACAAAATTGTGGATTTTGAAGTTGGATTAAAATAAGTATCTCATCAAAATTTGGTCTAAATCGGAAGAGGTAAATTTCATTTGCATTGGACACTTGGCGTGGAATGACCCATTTCAAGGCTGCCATTTTTAATGTTCTACAAGATAACAATTGATCGGAAATTGGAAATTTATCATAAATGTAAATCATTGCCAAAACAAACAATTATGCCAAGTTTCAAGCAAATCGGAGAAGGTCGAGTTTTTCCGATTCGTCATTTGACTAAGGTTCTCAGTGCTGATAATTTCCATATTATTCAATTGAAGGTGATCCAACAGGACCAGTCAATCAATTGTATTCATTGCATGTTTTCATTTCCATCAATTGAAAAACAACTGTTTCAAACGAACCTTATCATCTATTTTTCATTGAGTCACATTCGCTCTCAATTGATGGTTTTGGACTGTGGAACGAAGTCAGTAAAAAAGGGTTCCTAAATATATCTGTTAACCGGATGTCGGATTCGTATCGGATAGATGATGTGCACATATTGGGTCAATGAGCATTGATGACCGCACAATTCGTAGGTGCCCTAAGAATTGATAAAACAATCCATAAAATATTGAAAAACGTTCTTTAAAAAAACATCCAAATGATCCATAAAACACCGGAGAAAATCCCTAAAAAGTTTGAATGCTTCATAAAAATATCAATATGATCCAAATTTTATGTAAAATTTAGCAACACAATTGTAAAAATGTACCGCTAAATTTCTAAATAATGAGCATAGAAATTACACGAATTACCTATAAATATATTGCATATGATCCATACAACTTTCAACAATGAACCATAAACTAACGAAGTTGGTCCATAGAAAATCAAGTTTACGCACTTAAATATATAGGGTAGCAGTACCAGTTATGGCCATACGTCCCTATTATGGTGTGTTCCAATTATGGCCTATTCAGTTCCCATTTTCCCATGTTCCAACACACCATAACTGGTACACCTTCCCTACACTGATAAATTGAACTATTCCCATTTTGCTTGAAATTTAATCAATTTCAAAATCAAAATAAGCATCTGATATTAATCCCAGTTTAATCATAGTTGATTAGATTGTAGATTATCTTTTTTTGAATAAATTTTAATCATTTTAGATTCTATTTTAATAATTTTTGATTGAATTTTAATCTTTTTTGATTATATATCAGTATTCAAAAAGAATAAAATTTAATACTGGAAAGATTATTTCGATTTTAATCATGCATGACTATTGCCGAAGTAATCATGGCTCGGACTCAATAAGGTGAAGCGGGAAACTGCATACTTTTTAAGCTTTTATGATTTAATTTATCTTTGAGTGTAGGTATGATGCATACAATGTACATATGAGGGGGTTAGAAGGAAAGGGGTGTAAGTGTCTTTGATCGATTCTCTTCATCGACTTTCTAGTTTGATAGCCACAGCTTTATAAACAAATTTTGCGCCATTTCTGCCAGATAGTTTGATAAAAGAGGTTCTCATCTAGCACCCAGAATGGCACACGAATCAAGGAATGTGTTTGCAACTGAATTATGAACGAAAGAGAAAGTCGATGAAGAGAATTGATCAAAGTCACTTACACTCCATTTCTTCTAACCCCTTCATATATTTTTCATGTTTTGGACACTGATTTTTTTTTTAATTAGGTCCATACACATTGGAAAATTGCTCCATTGCTGCGTGCAGGTTTAAAGTTCTGCCCGTGTTTTTTTTTTGTCAGAAGAGCGGAGCGATGGGCGAGCATCTATAATAAGATGATTATTATAGAAGCTTCTTTTGGAAGCTAATTCTAGACCCTTGCCCGTCACTCCACACCTCTACCTAAAACAACAAGGGGAGGACAGTAAATCTAAGTAACTACACAGTAATGGAGCAAGTTAAATAAAAAAAAAACGTCGAAACATGAAATGGGATTAGAAATGGATTCCCATTGTGCTGAATAATGCGAATTAGTGCCACCCGTTTTTGTTAGAAACCGAGTATATCTGTGCATAGCTACGGCTGTCACGGGATGGATGGTTTTTTTTAAAGTGAGAAAGGTAAATTAAATCAGTATTTAGCTTGGAAACTGTTGGGATCTTTTCTGATGAGTAAATGATGTGACCTTATCTGCTCAGTAATAAAAGGGGCCTCTGCTCAGTACGCAAAAACGGTTACCATTAGGCCACCAATGTACATTACAGCAAACCTCTGCCACCGACGATCGCACGTCGGTATGCTCGTTACATTTTACTGAGGACAGAGTTGCGACCTATCACACTCACGATCGTCAAACAGCTGGTGGTAGTAACGTTTAGTACATTCCTATCAATGTCGAAGCACTCTCCATGACCATCCTTCAAATTGACGAAAGAAGTAAAAAGCAACTGGTGAATGTCGTCTTCGGTGGTGATCCATCATCGATCAAATCATTTCCGACAATCATCACACTCATTTGTTCTCGTTTTGAAGCAGTTGCTGCTTTGCTTGCTTATGTGAGTGTGTTGGTGAGAGAGCCCAACAGCTTCCGTTTAATTTTGCCAGATTTGTTTGTAACTCACACAGTCACGCGTGCCGAGACGAACTTGGAATGCGTGGGCATTGTTTTTATTTTATTCTGTCGTTTACCTTTTGCGCATCATCGTACTGCAGAAGTCTTCACTGTTTTCGTTATGCTTTATATCATCAGCAGCGAGTGTTACATTTTGCCTGTGAGCGACCATTGTTTGCCATGGCTCTACCTCTTACTTGTTGACAAAACGTTCTGTCAGCGATATTCGGTTGATGCGTTGACGAGTGTCAAGTGAGTGTCATGTTTGCATCTCTGACTGAGGATAACATTTTTTTTTACACACACCCAGTTCGGAACTTTTATCGAGCTTTATCAGTAGCAATTTTTCACGTTCTCTTCTAACAAAAAAAAAACTTTTATATAGGAAGAAGCCTGAGATTTAACCCACGATTTTCTACTCAGTAAACAAAAATGGTCGCTTCTAGGCCAACGGGCTCTTTAGCTCCTCATTTCGAACGACGATAGTTCAATCCCGGCAACCTTAAGCTATTCATGTTACTAAAAACACCACTCGTTACGAACCCATTGATGGTATGATGGTATCACCGTTAAAAGTGGGTGACTGGAAGCCGTCTGGTAGAAGCATAGTTGGTGTTGAGTTCGCTCAGGTTTTGCGTCGGAATGTCGACAAGAGCTCCCGTTTGGAGGTTACACTCAATTGAATGAGATCAAGCATTTCTCAATTGTAGATGATCCATGCGTTCGTCAAAGAACGAACCAGACTAGAATCATCCATTCGAATGAGGTCCCTTTAAATTGAATTTGAGAATTAGCAGCACTGTACGGGAGCACACCTTTTGCCAACTAAGGTCAACTCGCGAAAAATAGCATAGCGCTTTCATCAGTTCGTGTCAAGCGTAATCTTTAAATCCGGCTTCTTGGTC